CATATTACGAAAATACGTTACGACGTCCTAGGCCCCTGGGTGGGGCCCGACTAGTAACCAATGCCAAAGCCGGCGAAACAACTGGCCACTGTGATACAATTGTATAACAACAACAACAACAACAACAACTTCTCCACTGAACTGAAGAAAGAGACAAAATTGATAATTGATCTCTCTATCCCAGCTTCATTCTAGGTTTGGGCAGAAAACTGCAACTCACAGCAGAAGAGCCAAAAATTATTCTGGTGAATTTGGCATACCTTTTCTTCAATAATTATTTACTATTCTACCACAGGATTATTTTTAAAAAAATATTTTCCGATATAATCAAAAATGGGCCTCTGTGCATGTCAGAAAGAAAGATAATTGCACTTCTGTTGATGTAGAGAACTCATGTGATAATGTGAATATGGGCAGGATTTGCCCAACTACTGAAGGTTGGTGCCTGAATGCGATTAAGATCAGTGTATGTTCTAGGCAGAAATAAATAGAACACTTAGAAATGGTTCAGCATAGATCAGGAAGCGAGCAAGAATATGTTACACTTCCTTGTTTGTTTACTGTATTTATTGACAAATATATAAGGAATGATAGTGGCAATGTCAGAGAAATTGTTGGTTGGGGACATGGATCTATGTGAACTTTTAAATGCAGATGATGTTGTATTTGCTACCTGAGAAATGAATGAGCAATTTTCCAGACGTATAAATGTTGCTAGAAATGTATGTCATCTATTGCGAAGAATGTTGTTGAAAGAAGCAAAAATGGCAGTGAATAAGAGTATGCGGTTACTCCTTTTGTTACATGGAGGTGTGAGTTGCATAGGCCAAGAAATCTATAAAACTAAAACAGATTCAATGGGAATGGGGTACTTAAAAGAGATATGGTCAAGCACAAGTGGAAGTTAAATTAATGTAGATTCAATTAAATAGCGAGTGACCAGTTGGAAATAAGGATATTGAGAAGGGGCACCCTGTGGATAGAATGAATGAGAATCAAATGGCAAAGAGTGAATGGATTGAGAAGGGGAAGAACAAGAAAGCTGAGGCTGGATGGAAGTAATGAGCATGATAAAAAAGGGGGAAGTGAGAAGTTTGAAGAATAGAAGGCAGTGGATGAATCATGCAAGAGTGGTTTCTAAAGAGAAAAAAAAACAAAAGGAAAAATGGAAAGATATAGTGAATGGTTTGGTATAAACCAGCAGTGAGCTGCTGGGGGTTTGCAGGGGTTCAGGAGAACCTCTAGCTAAGATTCTGTGCAGTTTGGAGAACCACCAAATCCCACTCCTGGCTGGCCCCACCCACCCTGCCCCTACCCTCCCAGAGGTTCCCACGTGGCCTGTTTTGGATGCAGGTAAGTGCAGGGTGCATGTGGAGGCTCAGGGAGGTTAAAAACGGGCCTACCTGAATTTCAGGAGTGCAGGAAATGGGCCTGTTTCTGGCTCCAGAGGGCCTCTGGAACCTGGGGAGGCCGTTTCCGCCCTCCTGGAGGCTCAAGGAAAATCTCCGGAGCCCAGGGAGGGCAACCCCCCCCCACCATGGCGCAGGAGTCTGACTAGGCCACACCCACCATGACCACGCCCACCCGGCAACCGAGCAGAGAACCCCTTGCTAAAAATTTTGAAGCCGACCCCTGGGTATAAACCAGTCTTAGGTGCGTTTGTTTTATTTTTCTTACCTCTTTACCTTACTTCTTTTCACTTCTTTTTTTCTGAAACGGGTTTCCTTGACTTCGCAGGACTCCATGTTCTTGAACGTTGCAAATATAAAACAGGTCATCACCTTGTCAAGGTGCAGTGAAGACAAGAGTTGCCATATATCAAGGCATTTTGGGTCGCTTCTGAGACCTGCCATGCCAGCACATCCAGGAGCTAAAAAGCCTCTTCCAGTGAGTTACAGGGGCCACTAGGAAAGTCTTCTGCAAAGCACACGTCCAGGGGGCTGAACCTCTTACAGCCACTGGACATCAGAGGTGGTATTCAGCCAATTCTGACTAGTTCGGGAGAATCGGTAGTGGAAATGTTGCATAGTTTGGAGAACTAGCAAATAGGTTGGCCCCGCCTCCGCTGCCTCCCAGCCTGCCACCTGATCTTCTTTTGTTGCCCTGAACAGGAGAATGGAGCTGGAAAGCAGGTTAGTGGAGTGGGGAGGGAATGAGGATTTTGCAGTATCCTTCACCTGCCACGCCCACAGAACTGGTACTAAAAAAAAATGAATCCCACCACTGTTGCACATGCTGGTGGTTTCAGAAACAATGCAAACTGAAGTTACGTGACATGTGTACATTCCTCTTTACCAATACTGCAAGGAGCTGTAACTCACTGGAAGAGGCTTTTTAGCTCCTGGATGTGCTGGCATGGCAGGTCTCAGGAACGACCCAAAATGCCTTGATATATGGCAACTCTTGTCTTCACTGCACCTTGACAAGGTGATGACCTGTTTTATATTTGCAACGTTCAAGAACATGGAGTCCTGCGAAGTCAAGGAAACCCGTTTCAGAAAAAAAGAAGTGAAAAGAAGTAAGGTAAAGAGGTAAGAAAAATAAATATAATTATTTAAAAAATTAAACAACAACATGAAAAAAATGCTTATA